TGTGAGGGCGTGGTCAGGGTGACGTAGTGTGACTGCGTTTGCTCTTTCGCTTTGACTTTGGTACTTGCTGTACAGACTGCTGCCATGCCGGCTGGCTAGGTCGCTCTGTAAGTAAGGCTTTTCCCTATTAAATAGCCTTATATTTCTACCTGACACCGTATTGGTAATTTCCCACTATAGCTTGCCATGTAGGCTAGGCTGGCTGGCCAGTGACTCATGTGATTTCTGGTAATCAAACTCCCACTTTTGGGAGTTGTCAGATGATCCATCTCCTCAGTCCCCAATCATTTTTCTTCATCTCAGAAATTTGAAACTAAAAAGTCAAATGGACTAATAATTACTATATGTTTTATAGGATTTCAGCCTTAATCAAAATCTAGATTGAAGTGCAGGGGAATAATTTCACTAATTGCAGGTAATGGTCCCTGCTGTGGACAACTCAGGGGGCATGTTCCCACTGATGCTCCAGGTCTCCTGATGTAGTGTACAAAGTATGATGGGGCAAGAGGATGCTTTATCATCCACTTTTCCTGATCTTAAGAAAACAACTTTACTCCTGCCGTGAGAAATCTGAACAGCATTCTGCTTTAAAGACAGTTTCCTAAACCTGGAAAACAAATGTTTTTTCAACTCATTTTTTATGGAGACATGAGGTTTATATGCTCTGATGGGGTGTAGTATACTGAGTGCACACATGTGTACAGTATGTAGAGATCAAGTCAGGATGAGAAGCATTTCCATAGTTAAAGAGAAGTGGGATAATTTAAGTTAGAAAAACTGGCTAGAAACATGCCACGCCAAGGCCAGACATTCAAAACAAAGAATAAATCTCTGTGTATTTACTTGGGAGCTGGGTGGTGGGCTCCCCAAAGATTATAAAACTCCAACTACAAATAGGTATATTAATTGAAAACACAAGTGAAACCAGAGGAAAGAAAGCCAGGCCTGAGTGTACATACCTGTAATCCTAGCTACTCTGGAAGCTGAAGCAAGGTGATCTGAAGTATAAGGCCAGTCTGAGGAATTCAGTGAGGCTCTTGTCTCAAAAAGAGGAACTAATATCTCAGATTGGTGGCATACTTGCCTAGTGTATGGGGTACCAGTCTCAGTACCACATGGAGAAGAAAATAAATACTTAGAGAAAGGAATTAAGCAATGCACATCTTTTGGGAAAGCAGTCTCCCTTAACTTCAGGGTTTTTCTGTTATTTCTTCAGCCACCATTGTATTCAGAGACCTCCATTTCCTCACCTCCAAGTCACACAACACACCCCTTTAGGCTCCCATGTCTCCTGCTGCCATGTACTGTTACCAAGATACCAACATCTCCTTAATGGTTAAGCTCTCAATAAACACATTTAAGTGCTTAATTGCATTTCTCCTTTCTGAAGCATTCAACTGAGTCCTTTCTAGAACCTTCCATCTCACACTGCTGGTGGCACTCTTTCTCGGGCGGCACCACCAGGCCGAGACTCTTCTCATTTCCGGTTCTATTCTTGGTCATTTTTATCCTCACTTTAGATCTACCTCTAAAGCTATGCATTCTGCGTTGACTCCCAAGCCTCTATAACAGCCCTATCCCTTCTTAAGTTTCAGATCTTTACATCTATTTAGCCTGTATGTGTTGATCGCCATACACTAGAAGCATTTCAGCCCCCTCTCCTGTCTGTCAGCTATCTGGCCTTAAACTGCTCTTTTCCATGCCACCACCCACTGCAGAAAGAATGAGCCATCCCAGTGCCTTCCCCATACGCCAATCTATGCTCTACCTTTGCCAAATTTATTTTGCACATCTCCTTCCTGTATTTGCTGTCATGTCTGATTTCTGGTCTTTACTTCTCCCCTGATTAAACTTTAGATTAATGGTTTCGGCATTCTTCAACGCCCTTAAACTATTGTGTACAATTTACAATTCAGACACTCCTGCTACTTCAGTACTATCTTATGCATAAACATCAAAGCCATGTTTCCTGATTATATATGAGCCCATTTGTGCATTTACAACATGGGCATCTTATGCATTGCTCCAGCGTTGGTTTAGTACTTTGCTTCCTGCCCTTCATGTTCTTGCTGTACTTAAATATTTATACTTTCTTGTGCTTTGAATTCTCACATCCCTCCTCTTAACAATGTGCATTTATCCTTCAATGCATCGATCACTAATTATGCTATACCTTCTAATTCTGGCCCATCCCCTGCAATCCTAGTCATCTCCTGCTGTGTTTCTGCTTGGCCTTCCTCTGCTGGCCCCAGGCCTGCTCAAGCTGCACAGCCACTGTTTTCCCTCCCCCACCTCCCTCAAAAAAATAAATGAGCTCACCTCCTATTACTCTCATCACCTTAACTCCAGGCCAAGCTCATCTCTAGCCAATTCTCTCTTTTTACTGAGAAGTGACTGGATGCAATGCAAAGTCAGAGAAATTTAAATTTTCTTTTCCTCACTCACAGACTACATTGTCTTGACACAAAAGGTAGGCTGGCATCATAAACAAGGTTGGATGAACTCAGTGGCCCCTGAGAAGAGTGTGAAACTCAACAGCAGTAATAAATTCAAGGAAGCCTACATGATGCACTGGAGTAAGCAATTAAAAGTTCTGGTGGAGGCAGCAGTTAACTGGGAAAGAAGTACTGACATGGAAACTCATCTGTGGTGGACCTGGGATTAGAACACTTGACCTTAAACAGGTACACTCCTCAGAAAAGTGCTTTATCATCTCAAGGCTTTGGGGGGAAAATCCATGATGGGCACATTTTAACTCAAGGGTAACTTCTGCCACACTATTTTACTTTCTCGTGGGACTCTTCTTCCCTTTCCTTTTCAGCTTGTCTTCACTGTCCTTCAATCCATCATGGGACACCAACCCCTCCTTTCCACGACCAGCTAAGGAACCCATATGAAACCAGTGAGTGGCCTTCTGGAGTTTCACCACTACATTTCATCCAAAGGGCAAATGTGGATGTTGCTATCACACAAAGCAATGGGACTTCGGTGTAAGATGCCTTGCTCTTCGAGTTGCAGCATCCTGTCTTAAGCCTTTGCAATATATGATTATTCCCTTGTGGCTTCTGTATTTTGGTTTTGACTTTTGTTTTTGAGACAAGATCATGCCATGTAACCCAGGCTGTCCTTGAACTCACTGCCTCAATCCTCCTGCCTCAGCTTTGAGGAGGCATTATAGGTATACATCATCACACTTGGCTTCCTGGTGGGCTGCTTCTTTTCTATTCTATAAGGCAGTTTTGACAGCAAAAGATGAAAAACAGCATTGGATCAGGTAAAAAGAAACATCATTCTGGATGCTAAGATGATCACTTATGGTAGCTGTCATGTGCTTTCTAGGAACTGTCAGAGAAACTAGGTATAAATCAACAGAAAATTAAATCAGGACAAGTTTTTGATTTTGTGAAAAAACTTCAAGAAATTAATACTACTGTGTTAACTAACAAATGACATTTGATGACACAGGAGCTGAAGAGCAAAAGCCAGCATAAGGACTCAGAATTACCTGTGCATAGCATTGCTCCTACAATCCTGACACCCAACATGACATCATGAGATACATCACCAGCATGTTGTTGCTAGAAGCAGGGTGAATCCTCCCCCACCCCCCAAATAGCTCCCTCCCATGAACACATCTTTACAACCATGGGAAAGAAAGAGAAGAGAGAAGAAAAAATAAAATATTTCCTTTTATTTTCTTAGGCACACGAGTGATGTGAGATACCAATTTCCAAGACATTGTACCGCTTCACTGTTGGAATTGTCTACTGTAAATCCCAACCACCTTTGAGAACAGCTTGCAGCAATCACTCTGCAGTTCAGATGTACCATGTTATAATTCAGTTGCAAAGTCAACAGTGTCTGTTCAATATGTGAGTTTATTTGAACTCCTGAGTTTTAAATATCCCATGAGAGTAATTTCTCTCCTCATTTAAATGGCTTTTCAGCTTAAAGCAATGACCATTAAAATATATATCCAAAATACCTTATTATAAGAGAAACCAGAAAATTCTAATCGGAGAAGCTTGATAGTATTACATGGAGTATCGTTCAGCGCCTGGGAGTAGCCTGTGGCTCAAACAAAATCTCAGCACCAAGGCCATCAACCTAGTTACAATTGTTCTCTGGCTTCACAACAAACCTCTTTCTCTTCAAATGCTCCTTTTCTGTGAATGGCACACATTTCCCATACAGTAAGGATTTATTTGCACCAATGTGGCACACACCTAGCAGCTTTCAAGAACTGGAAAGATAGTCTCCTGGACAACAAATTTAAATTCTAGCAACTTCCCCAGGAAGAGTCCAAATAGCCACCACAGGTAAATAATATGATGCTGGGGGCAAGTGTGCATTTCAACCACTTAGTTTGTTTACAGTGAGGGCAAATAAACATTGACCATAACAGCTTAACAGGGAGGAGGCTGTCTGACAGTCACACACGTGGGCACTGGGGAAAGCCATTGTGGAACATTAGCAGCTGGTTACAGAGCATCAAGGGTGAGTATGGCTGACTGAATAAATCCAGTCATTTCCAAACATAAACTCAAATGAACATGCTAATGACAGAGACTTGATGATACCATTTTCATCAAGAGTACAGATTTCAATAATTCACAAATCAGATGATCAAATAAAAATGACACAAAAAGCACAGTAAGAATAAACATGGTTTTAAAAAGTAATGGAAAGTAGTCAAAGTGGCAATCTTAGGGAAAACAGAACAAAACTTTCACCAAATATGAAAACTAGGTGGACTCTAAATGAATACAAAGCAACTTTGGACTGTAGCTAACCAGTGTGCGAGAACCACATTTCATTTTTGTGAACATGCATTTCATAAATACATATGGCTAGAGGTGACATGTACCCAATATGAAACCATTGATGCCATAAGTCTAGGTTGCAGGGTTAGAGACAGAGTGAACATGGCATAGCTATGTTGCACAGATTACAGTGAATATAAATATCACCTAGACACTAGCCACCAGATGCATGGCAATAATGGACTGTTGTTTACTGGGACCCTGGGAAGTATAGCTAAATTAGTATTTTAGAAATGGTTAATCCATACTATTATAAAAATTGATGATTTATTATATAAAATCATGATCAGCAGAATACAGAAAATTATTTTTTACCTCTATATATTTATTAAAAATATTGGGGAAAGTGTTAACATCTGGAAGAACTCATTACAAACTACCAAAAGATACTCATTTGGTGAAGTTGTTCAAGTCACAAATTCTAAGTACATAGAATGCACTTCAAAATAAATGAATTGTAATACAAGTATGAAAACAGAGATCTTAAATATTAAGATGCATTTAATAAAAATAACTAATGAGAAACACAAGAAAAATGTTGCCAAGTCATACCAAAAAGAATAAATCACATATTTCCTTTATTGGGGTGGTTAAATTAGGCTAAAATTTAAAACTAAATAGGCAATGGGAGCTCAAAGTACATATAGTTATTTTTCTACCAATAACAAAAAGATCTGGAGGCCAATCATGCACTGTAGACCAAGTACTTTTCATCACAGTTACTCTGGTCTTCTACTGCTACTCAAAGGCAAATAAATTTATGCATCAGTAAGAGAAGGAAAACAACCTGAATAGGGCAATATTCTTATATATGAACATGATCAAATTAATCTCTAGGTAAGACTAGAAAAATCTGCTTGCAAAGGATTACTATATGTCAGCAGTAACCAGGGCAAAGATTTTACTGCAAGGAAAAGGCAGAGAAGAGAGCTCTGATAAGCTGGAAAAGCCAGAAAAATAAAGTACTTAAAAGAAAATGTTACCATATCTCTACAATCTCATTTGTAACAAACAAAATCAACTAACCATTAAGTTTGCAATTAAACTATTTTAAAAATAAAGCTGATTAGTGAACGCACACCATATGAATCATGTTGGATTATAATATTCTACAGTCCTAAGTGCTGTTAGTAAACACATGCTACAAGAAAAAGAATTGAGAAAACTTCACATTTAAGAATTCCTGAGTCCTGTCAGGGAAAAGGAATACCAAAGGCCCCCCAAAACAGCAATAACACAGCAGATAACACAAACATGGGCATTTTGTTAATATTATGTTTATAGTTTTAAAGCTGAAGACTATGGGGACAAATACATAAGTACTTTAATGGAACTATAAACATGATTTTAAAGCTTGTTTCTTTTTAACAAGGCGTTTTGACTAAACAAGGCCACCTGAATGACAACTTCAGAGATGGTAAGCCTACCATTTTGTAAGAATAAAATACTTATTTCAAAGCCTAATTATTAATATAAAAAAGGGAAAATGGTTTAGTAAGAGTGCTATCAGACAGCCCTTTGATGAGGTCTAAAGGGTGAAACCAACATAATCAAATAAGAATGTGGGCTCCACTTTTGAGCCATTACCCACTCACTAAATAAGTTCCCTTTTGCTTTGCATATTACACAGTGAAAATAAACAGGAATCTTAAGAGCACTTCAGTCCCACAATGTAGGATTTAAGCTTGTATGAAAAGGTAGGTGTAAAAGGCCCACAATGACATAATGCTTGATAACATACATTCAACTGAAATACATCTATTTTCTTACAAGCAAAGAAAATGAAGCAAAGTCGTTCTACTTAAAACAAACAAGGAAACAACAACAACAAAAAACAGAACAAAAGCTAAAACTAAAAAAACACAGTTTACTCCCTTCTGGAAAGACTACCTAAGCAAAGAACATCCAACAATGATAACATTTAGAACTTCATATTTTTACTCATCTTTCAAGACAGATGCACATAACTATTTATGGGCTTTATAAATAAAGATACTAAACAGAAAAAAATATTTGGGTTATTTCTCTGTTCATAAGTCCCAGCAATAAAACAATTCAGTAACACTAAAGTGCACACCTATAGGCATTACAGGTATAACAAGGGGCAGCCAAAGCTGCATCTACATTTACATTTAGAGACCCAGAAAATGATTCTTGCTTTTTAGAAAATTGTGCAATTTAAAAACTAGTCAGTTTTGTTTGTGCCATAACATGACAGCACTTGTATCTGCCACTCGGTAAGTGACTATAGGCCTACAGAGCACTGGAGGCTCTGGCAATCAGTTTGTAAGAATCATACAATATTGATTCCACCTCCAGAAAACGTGAGGGTCCTCTTGTTGTAGAAGGAAGGGCCACTGGGGTCTGGCTCACTGCCTTTAACCAGGGAGGTTTTCAGTTCCATCTCACAAGCTACGATAGCTGCCTTCAATTCCACTTGAGCTCGATGGACTACATAAAACATGAGGCCTATGCTTATAACAATCTGTGAATAAAAATAGAATACCAGTTACCAACATCATATACAAGTAAAGGCTATGAATTCAATAAATATGCAGCTTAAGAATGCTACACATGTGCTGGGCGTTTGGTAATCCCAGCACTCAGGAGGCAGAGGCAGGCGGATCTCTGAGAGTTCAAGGCCAGCCTGGTCTACAGATTGAGTTCCAGGACAGGCTCCAAAGCTACACAGAGAAACCCTGTCTCAGAAAACCAAAAAAAAAAAAAAATAATAATAAAATAAAAAGCTTCACATGTATGATCCTGAAAGAGGGAGGTAGGAAGTCACACATGTTAAACAACTATTTGCCATTAACTGAGCAGCTACTGTTCAATAAAATGCTGATTTGGGCATTGGAAAAGTGGGTTTCTAAATACTGTAATTGTTTTATTTCTCCTAGAAATGTATCATCTATTTTCTGAAAAGTGAAAGTTTGATACCTTTCAGTAGACTATAATGGCATGTAAAGAAATGGAGACAATGTTATGAGAATCTGTGCTGCAGGCTGTGTAAGATGCTACATTTGTTTAAGGCACACTGAATTCTTGGTACCTACTAGACACAGAAGCTACAGGAAGGGGCTGAGCTAAATGTGCAGGGTAGAAGACACATGCTTTGCACTAGCTTTCTCCAGCATTCATTCACTTTCTTCCTTAGTCTTATGAAGTATAAAAGAAAAAAGGAAAGAAACAAATAGGATGTAAAAGCAACCCTGGGAAGTTTCTCTATTTAAATAAAAGGAGGCCAGAGGAACAAGCCTTCTACAGAAACACAAGCCTCTTTCCCACTACTGGTTGGAAAGAAGGCTGGGTATAGGCAGATTAAGAAGAGATCTCTTACATAAGATGAGGGCTTCCTACAAGGAAGCTGCTGATTATTAAGGAAGAAGACAGGCAGTCCACAGAGGACAGAGGGAGGTCAAGGGAGGACAAGTAAAGAAGCTTGAGTTACTTCATGTCAATAGTAGAGGAGGGAGATGGCAATGAAGCAGTGGATATGTGGGAGAGAGATGGAACTCTGGGGAAAGCCTGTACCATGAACTGCAATGTTATCCATCTGCTTCGTGGTACCTTTGACCCATAATGCATACAAAGCATATCAAACTTGGACTTGTGGGACTAGAGTTCTGGAAAGTGAGAATAGAAACATACACACAAGAGGCAGAGGGGCTAGACACCGGTGTCTGTATGAGAACAGCTATAGGTAATGCTCCATTTTTCCAATAAGCAGGCTCTTCTTGGCTGCTGGCTGTAAAGCCCAGAAAGCAAATTATTTGTGGCTCATTTCTAGCACAGAAAGAATCTGGCAAGTGTACTTATTCTATTAACCATACCCTAAGCCTTGCCTTTCCCTTGCCAGCATCACTTTCATGACTACCCCCTCTCTACCATTTTACAATTCAGTGACATAAAATCCTTTCTGAGACAACTTGAGCTATAACTAACATCAACAGGCCAAACCAAAACTTGCTTCTATTTTTTCTATGAATGTCTGAGCTAAGAATTATGTGTCTTCTCCTTCCTGTAATGTATTATAAGTTTAAAAATGCCAGCTCAAACAAAGGGGTTGACAAATTATTGGAAAAGAGATGATTCTATAGTTTTAGGAAGCACTAATGGTTGCAGTTGAATAATTTACAGAGAAAATAGTCCAGACCCCCTGAAAGTGGATGTCAGTGAGGAGACCTTGGAAATCTATGGGGCCTCTTGTAGTGGATCAGTACTTAATGCTACCATAGGAATGGACTTTAGGAGCCCATCCCACATGGAGGGATACTCCCTGAGCCTAGACACAAGGGGGTTGGCCTAGGCCCTATCCCAAAGAACATGACAGACTTTGAAGACACCCCCTATGGAAGGCTTCACCCTCCTTGGAGAGCAGAAAGGGTATGGAATGGGTAGGGTGTTAGTTGGGGAGGGGCAGGGGAGAAGGGGAAGAAGAGGGACCTGGAATTGACATGTAAAATAATTTTATTATATATATATATATATATATATGTGAAAGTACTGTGA